TTCAGAAGATTTTCCAGATTCATGCCCTTTTTACAGATTATTCAGTATATCCATGCAGAAAGCCGCTGATGGATGAGGGGTTTGTGTACACATAGGACCAGGTTTAACCTTCTTCTCCATCCTTCCTTTGATCCCCAAGTAATCACAGCCCTTCCTCCATCATATTCTAGGAGCGCTTTACTTAATGAAAAAATGCTGTGATCTGTAAATGAAAAGGCTTTGGCGGGTCTCTAACCATTAATCCACGTAGGTTAATATCACACATGCCCAAGAATCAATATGGTTCTTTCCACAGAGAAAGATTGGACAAAAAGTTTTTATTCAGGATTTTTTTTTTTTTTTACTGAATTATCAATGTTGAAAAATATACAGGTTCCCAACCTTCTTTGTCTTACTAACCCTACCTGCCATTAGCAAGGCCACCTTTTTATGTTCCATCATCCACACAAACTAACAGTTTTTTTTAACTTAAAAAGTGACTGAAAGTGTTAAGCAATTAATTACAAAAAAAGTCACGAGATTAATTGTGGTTAAATATAATTTTTATTGGTTTTTGTTATTTTTTATTCATTGTATTATTTTTTAAATAATAATAATACAGTATTAGCAGTAGTAGAAGTATTAATACTAATAATTCTAAAAAATAATTTGTGACTTGGATAAAACTTTTATGGTCCTTATAATTTTAAAATATTTAATTAAATATCAACATACACACACACACATGTATATATATATATATATATATATATATAGAGAGAGAGAGAGAGAGAGAGAGAGAGAGAGAGAGTATATATAGAATTAATAACAATCATGATTAAAATTATTATTATTAATTTGTATACATGTATTTATTAATTATATATCCAAGTTGTTCACCTAAGTATTGTATTAGGGTCCTAATTTCTTTTTTAATACCCCCTGGTGTACGTACACCGCTGGTTGGGAATGGGAATCACTGTCCCAAAGCCCTGTATGATTGCAAAGCATGAGCCGTGAGTCAGGCATGCCGCAGTATCATTTTTATTCAGTCTTAGAGAATCTCTGTAATGAGACATCCTTCATTCTCTCCAGTAATACCTAAGGAAGTGGGCTGGAGAATATTTCAAGGATAAGCTATCTTCCCCTTTGATGTAATGTATAGAAGATAAATGTGCAAGTGGGCATAAAAGCAGATTTTTGATATACAAGTTAATAATGCAAAGACATAAAGATCAATTGATTTCTGTCTGTGCAGCAAAAGAGATTTATTTCACCATTTCAGTATGATTAGGGAGGAAAAGTTATCGTAAAATCAAGTCATTTGTGCTTTTTCATTTTTCATTTACATTCACATTACATTTTATTTGAAAAGGGGGATTTTTGAGGGCCAATCATTGTAAAACTCTCTGATTCACCCTCTATTTTTTATCTGATCTGCTATTGCTATGATTCAGACTGTACATGAACGGTTTGACCTAAAAATATCAAAATTGAAAATACTGTGGAAACAAAGACACCTACATCTTGAATGCCCTTGAGGTAAGCTAAAACATATCAAAAATTAATTTCAAAGTGAACTATCCCTTTAACCCAAAGGATTTGACATCATTGGGTCCTCCACAGCTTCCAGACGGCTTTAGAGAATCTTTTTGGCGATCAATAAGGTTATTATATTGTAGGTTAGGATTGATTTTAATTGCATACAGAGAAAAGTTATTTGAAAATTTACAGAATTAAAAAATAAAAAATATGATCATATACAATTTCCTGTGTCGTCAATTTTTAGGTTACAGGACACGTCCCAATCCAGTTAAAATGCAGAGCCAGTTCTCAAAATAAAACTACCCATGCACAGAGAATCGTCAGCATGCCATGGCATGTACTAAAATGATTTTACCTGGGAAAGGGAATTAATGACCTCAAAAAAGCAAATGGCTATAAATGCTGTTTTTTTTAATAAGATTACACTGAGATTATGTTGACAAATCAATGCAATGGTTTGCTATGTTTGAATGTGGTAAACTGGATCAATGGTTTTAATCATTTCTAATTTCAGAGTACTGATTCAACAGGGTAATTGCAAAAGTGAGGTATAATATTCAGAGCAGTGATGAATGTGTTCAGCAAGGAAGGACAGAGCGAAGTGAGGGAGAGACAGTGGGGATGGGGAAGCTTATTGATTTGCGAATATGTCCTCCATCTGTCACCATAATGAATGTTAATATTACACTACACAAAATACAGCAGCTCAACAGATCACATGAACCAGTAGTTTAAGACTCAAGGCTGGTTTTAACTTAGCTTCACTGCAACTAAACTTTTGCAGAGCTCATTTTAAATCTGTAAATAGTCCATCTACGTAACTTCACGTCTTTTGTAATTAACAGCTGTCTAAACAAACAAGACAAAATTGATTTAGTCGGTTTATGTAAATACAGAGATTTAATTTATCTTGGCTAATTGAGCACATCTGGTCTTTTTGATCTTACAAATTTGCAAATATTGGAATCAAACATGATCGAAAAAAGCCTCTACATACCTGACTGAACAATCAAAATAAACTATCATGTTCCTAGTCTTCACATAATTTATCTGTGTACGTTACCACAACCGTAAAAAAAAGTTTTTCATTTTTTTAATGCTATGGACATGCCAAAATTATCAATTCAGTCTAATCAAATGATCAAATTAGCTATGTATATTCATGTATAAAAACAAAATTTATTCTGCGAAAAAAATATATATATTATAAATATTTATGAAATATAATTCAGAAGAATATTTAGTTTCTACTCACAATGTATTTATACCCATCATCACTACTTTAAGATGTATAAACCTTAAAAGAAGATTAAAATAATTGTATTAAACTCATGATCATTACAAAGCAGAATGAAACAATCTCTTTTTTTCCATTTCAATTTATTTATTTATTTTTTGACCTTGGCCGCGTGGTTATAAGAATAAAACTTCTATAAAGTGACTTCTTAAAGTTATTTAGAGAATACGTTTATAATGATCCACCACCTTTCTTTCACATGAATATTAAAGTCTGACTAATTGGCAAGTACAACAGTTGCATACGAGTTTGCTTAATAGAAGCAATAATTCTTAAAAAGTGAAGAAAACACAGCCATTTTGGCCCGGGTTTGAATTCTAAGTACAAGTGAATGTCAAAAGTAAGATCTTAAATGACAGGGTAGCATCTGGTGAGAGAGCGCCTTTCATTAGAAGAAGATCCTCTGGCTCTACTGAGGAGAACAGCTCTAGATTACATCCACAGGTTTCCTTGTGCTTCTCAAGACCTTTTTTAAATCCCACTATCGTACAGGTCAGGGATCAGCAATATCCTGGGACTGGGGTAATGGGGGAAGTGGTCCAATTCAGGGAAAAGCAATCAAGCCTAGATAAAAGGAAATGGGGCGTCGATGAAGGAGCAGGTGCATGGGGTGTTTTTTTTACTCAAAGCTGTTGTTAAAGAAATCTAACCCCATCACCTCAGCTGTGATTGCCTGCAAAGATGCGACTGTACACATCAAGCTGCAATTTTGGTGTTTTGATGTGGGAAGATGATAAGGCCGGTTTCCATCAGGCAAAGGTTTGATGTTCGGTTTTACAGTAGAAAATGCAGCACTTACATTTAAGTGCTGAATGGAAAATGCTTTCAAGCAAATGAAAATGACTTTGCAAAGCAAATGAAGCCACATTCACAGTGCTACATATAATTTCTGTAATTGCTGGGCTTTGATTTATTTTGATGACACCTGACCAGTTAAAATTGCGAGTTTTTTTTTTTTTTTTTCTTTCTTCTTCATCTTCAGAGAGTTTTGGGCTTTCTGAACTTTATCCAATAAATAAAATTATAATTGTTGGCTAATTTTAATGATTGATTCAAAATGAGATTTTGAGGTCCACTCTATTACCAAGTGATTTTAATTATTTAATTTTGTGTTAAAACTGATATATATAGACATAGACATGTCCCAAATTGGTTTGCAAACCTCATATGAAGTGAATGAAACATTTAAAATTTAGTAAGAAGACCTGAAGTTGACTTCAGATATTTTCTGAAGGTTAAGCACTTCCTTCCATTGACTATTTGTTGAAAAAGAGTTCCAGGTGCTATTTTATAGCCTGGCCTTTTTAGCCTAGCCTGTTTGTGGAAAAGTGCCATTTGATGTGGAATTCATATTATAATACACAGTCCTATTAATAATATTAAAAGCAAATTAATTCAGTCGATTAATTCAGTAATCAGTTTATGACTTCCTCCTCAGTGCTCCAGATTTGTTCGGTGTTAAGCTCCACAAAGCACAGTCTATGATGAATGTTTGCAATAAGAATTTATGTATGTGTGAGTCAGGTTTGTCTAATCTCACAGTGTGTAGAAGATACACATGGAACAGGAAGGGCAAGATGTTTTGTGTAGGCTTCAGGTCCCTATGGGCTCAGCACATGATTCCTTGCGCTGCTCTCACCTGCTGAGAACAGCAAACCTCGCACACACTCCACAAACAACTGTGCCTCCCTTTCTCTCTTTCTTATTCTCTGTCTTGCATCTTCTCTTGTGGGAAATGGGACCTTGCAGTCAGCAGAATATTCATCAGATAAATCCGCGAAAACACAACGTGCTAAATATAAATGCATGCACATTGTGAGATACAGAAATAAACATTCACAAATGCAAACGCCCCATTGTCCTTTTCAATTTGTAACTTACTAAAACTAATCAAAGTTTTCAACATTTCCCAACAGCAGATTTAACTTGATTCTTTTTGCCATTATAAAAAAAAAAAAGAAGATTGCTGCTTGCGAATGAAAAAATTGCCAATAATGTTCTAGGTGGTTGCTAGGGTGTCCTAGCTTGTCGCTAGGCGCTTGTTTTTAAGGAACTCTAAACAATTCTAATTCCAAACTCTAAAACCACTGGCTTGTCTTGCAGAAGTAAAGCAGTCACGACGGCCTTGGTTGCTAAGTCACTGTTGAAGTGTTTTTTTTTTTCTCTTGTGTGTGTGTAGGTCCCACCGGCAGGGCCGTGCGTCACAGGCCGTGATGTGGGTAGAGTGTAGGGTGCTGGAGGCCGTCTGTGGAGGCAGAAGGAGGTCCCTACTCTCGATGGTCATGAGAATCCCCGGCTCCTTCTGGTTTCTGCTGCTGTTAGGCGCTGGAGGTCTTCTTCTGCTACATCTACAGGACCTCACAGAGACACTCCAGCAACAAAACCAAGGTCTGTGACAAAACATGTGTCTCAGTTTTATTTTTCAAAGAAAGTGTTTGTCTATGAATTCTTTACAGATTTTAAAAACAAGAACAACTTTTATTGTTAGTAATGTTTTAGATGCGTGGTGTTTGCAGGACGCGAAGACGAAGATAAAAGTGAACAGAGCTAATTGACTGACTGATAACAACACCAAACAGGCATAAATATATACTAAGTGAAAACAAAGATGATTGGATTAACACAGGTGATATGAGGTAACTGATGAATAACCATTGAAACAAACAAGAATGCAATGAGAAACCTTGGAGACAAGAAACAAGTGGCGTGGCGGGAAACTATGAACAAAGGAGACGAGACTGAATGAAAAAGTCCATAAGGGTGAAACTAAGAATAATTGCGACAAACACTTACTACTAGACTGACTTATCCATATCCACTTTTTAGAAAAATCTACTATGATAGGCTTTTGAGGAACATTTATTTGTTCATCATTTTTTTTATTTCCTTGCATTATATATTTCGCCACGACAATGAAAACTACAGAGCTTTGATCATAAAGCTAAGCATTTAAATACACTGGTCTACAGCCAAAACGCTTCTTTAATAAATGTAGTCAAACTTTACTAATTCTGGTTCACTGAGAACAAAAATTATGCTTAAAATTGCTGATATCTGCTATCGAGTCAGTATTATGACCCATGATTTGGGAAAGGTGGAGAATAAAAGAGTTATAAAGGGAGGGGATCTGAATTCAAACCAGAAATTACTAAAATGCATCTTTGACTGGATGTATGAATAAATCTATAACTGAGCTTGGAAAGTACTTGCTTTTAAGGCAAAACTATGAATAATGCAATGCAATCTGAAGCTGGTATTGCGTCATACAGTACAGGATATGAATTGTATCATGTTGTTCCTAGAAGTCATGGATGATCCAACCGTAACAAAGCTTACATCACTCTGCTGAACAAATTGCCCTCTATCAGCTCTGGAAATCATACAGCAGGGGTGCAAAACTCAATTCCTGGAGGGCCACCACCCTGCAGAGTTTACTTCCAGCCCTGCTCAAATACACATTGACTGTACCTGTAGTTTTTAAATTAGCCTGAAGGACATGATGAGCTGGATCAGGTGTGTTTAATTAGGGTTAAAGCTGTTGCCCTCCAGGAATAGAGTTTTGCACCCGTCATACAGCGTTGTGCTCTCTCTTATTAGTCAGTGTTAAAGTCATTTTGCAAAAGGACAGATTTGTGTTTGCCAAAGAGAGCAGAGATGCCTCGTAGTTGTGTAAACTGCAGATAACTTCAAATGGAGTAAATTGAGCCCATGAATACAAGAGACAAGCGCAGAGTAGACACTGATTAGGATGTACAAAATAGTTTTTTGCCTTTTGTTTCATAATAAATTTGATTTATATAGCCATTTTGCTTATTTTTTAAGTGTTACATAAACAGGAAAGGTGACCGGTACTATCTACACAATATACATAGACCTAAATATCTTGGAAACAGTAGCCAATCAGTTGTTTTAATTGATGCATCTTTTAATTCAGCACATCAAAATGCATAATAAATAACACATTTAATGTTTGATTAACAAAGTTTGGGAGAAGCATGTTCTGATAATTAACCTAATTAACATGCGAGGAGCAGAACACACAGAATCATAACACACAGCCAACATTTGTATCTACAACAACAGACAAAGGAACAGACAGAGGAGTTTCATCAACATTTCGTTTATTTATAAAACTAAAATCCGTTCATTTAGACGACAATGGCGTTTTGGTGGCCAGAAACGGGTTTTAAAGTGTAAGTTTTCGAAAACACCCTTTATCATTTCTGTGTAAACTACAAAAACGCGAATCTGTTTAGATTTTTTTTTCTAAGCCTTTGTGTTCAAAGGTTTAGAAGAGACCATTATTCTAATATTGGGATTACAGTGATTGTTTCTGGTGAAAGACCGACTAATTAAATCCAATAGCGCTATTCGATTAGAGGTAAATGTCTCACGAGTGTTCCATCTTTTCTCAAGGCAATGGGATTTTTAATTAAATTACATTTTATCTTATGTATTAAGTCGTTATTTTAAAGGTTTTTCAGTGATATCTACGCATCATTAAACCTACGTGAATGTTTGACTATTCCTTTTAACTCTAATGAAAATAAAGTCAAAGTGTTAGAATAATCAAATATAACAATTTATTATGTCAGGTAAATGTATTGTTACAATTTCATAATCAATTGAAAGATAATTAATACAAACCATCAAATGTTCTAGAACAAAAGGGAAAATCCTTTACCCGACATTATCAAATACATGAATGCTGAGTCTCGGCGACTTAGCATTCACAGGCGGATCTGATACAGAAAAGGACGTGATCTTGTTGCATTTCATTATATAGCAAGACCTCATTTCATATGTAAACATGGGTTTACAATGGAAATTTACTGTGTTCACCCCCCAGACTTACTGGGGGTAGATGTTGACCATTTGCGAACAGTGGGGGGATTTGCTTTTTTGGGAGTTGGACCATGCCTAGAGCCCACATTCCTTTGTGTGCCAGTTATGCCTAAACTCTTAAAAATCGTATTACCTTTTGTTTTACTTATTTGGAAATAAGACACTTGTATCATTCGCAGTGAGACATTTAAAAAAATACTGAACACATGTATAAAACTGTATGATAGTTGTTCAAATTAAAACCATATATATTCTTATGGGTGATCTCTTCATGAGTGGGGGATGTGGGGAAGAAGTGTGTGTGTGTGTGAGATGTTCAAATGTTAATTTGCAGCACAGTCCTTCATCTCATTGACCAGTGGTCAGGACTCAGGTCTATCCCTTCAACCAGTTTGTCCAGTCTTACACTGGCTTTGTGAATATGAAATTTACTCCGAAAGTAATGATACACTATTATCAAGATTAACATCCTTAGAAGTTAAATCGGACAAAAAAATATTATAAATTATGTCATTTGTGTCTAGGGATGTGCGTTCGGCTCTAGTGCACTGTACTAAAAGAATGTGTATAGATAGATAGATGGATAGATAGATAGATAGATAGATAGATAGATAGATAGATAGATAGATAGATAGATAGATAGATAGATAGATGGATGGATGGATGGATGGATGGATGGATGGATGGATGGATGGATGGATAGGTAGGTAGGTAGGTAGGTAGATAGATAGATAGATCTACATCAGAACAAACCTGCATACATTTTTTTTACAGTACCAGTAAATATTTATTGAATTTTGCAGATCCTGTAAAACAACCAGAGGACTCTTCTGGCAAGGTGATGTCCCAGCATACAGTACAGTTGCCCTCTCCTAGAGCTAACGCTGTGTTTGATTACTGCCATTTTTTGGTTTATTTGAAGTGCTAGCATGCGGTGAAGTGGGCTTTAAAACTCACTGTGTCTTCCCTGCAGAGCCATCAAAGCAGCTAATATTGTCTGTTTCCATCTCGCGACACGGGAAATTGTTAGCTGAACACATAAGCTCATGAGGACGATATTGTACTGATTGTGAGATACGCAGGGGAGATATTGCTTTGTTATCTTTTAGAAATGTGGGTCAATGAAAAAACTCTACAGAAAGTCTTAAAGGAAATTTGCCTGTCGCCCTCACTGCTGTTTGTTGATGCAGTATTTAACATGTCATGTTAAATCAATTTGTTTTACTGAGAAATGTTTTTACACACATTTATGGCTAGCCATGCATTTTTGTTTACTGTGGTAACTCCCTCAGAGACATTGTCGAGTTCAGTTTTAATAGAAATCATTTTAATACAAATAATACACACTTTTACAGTAACCTTTTCATGCAAGTTGTCATTCCTGTCAGATCACAGAGACATAATTTAGTGGCTTCCTCAGTAATTGAACATTTACATGAGCCTAGAGCTTAAATGCTTGACAAGACACAAACAATAGATATGTGCTTCTCTAAATGCATTACATTTGAGACCGATGTTTTAAAAAAAAAAAAAAGTAGGGCTCTTTGGCGCATTAGAATCTAATTAGGGAATGACTAACCTGAGATGATTGAATCTTGCGTTACTATTGACTGAGGGATTGTGTAAGCAGTCATTGGTGGGGGAAGCTAAATAACAGTTCAATAGTGCCCTGAAAAGGGAGTCTATTCAGTTTCATCTCTCCTGTGCTGATTGATCTGTCTCTCCATACCCTCTGATCCAACCCGCCCAGTCAATGACAGATGTCTCTGTGGACCCTGAATCATTGGCAGGGAAGCTGCGGTTCAAACTAAGTTTTGGCTCAGAGGTATTTCAAACTGTTGAGGGCTTGTGGGGTATTTCAGTTTTAGAAAATAAGAAAATAGTTTTGTTTTTAAATATTGCTACTAAACTTTGCTGCATTCATTAAATATTTAAGGGTTTAGTTAAATTTCCTAAATTAAATTATTCACCAAAGCCAAATAAATATTTAAATATTAAGTTATATTAGTAAACATTTTAAATTTAGTTCAAAAGTATTTATGTACATCTTTCCCACCCCAGAAAACCATTCAAAAGTGTCTTTTTATTTCTTACAGTTAAAATACATTTTGTAATTATTGTATTTCTCAAATAGTCAGTAGACTTCCTGGACTACAGTTTGAAAATTCCTAGTTCATGCAATCTGTCTTCAGTTTAAAGGGTCAGTTCTCACCAAAAAATGACATTTCTATTATGAACTACTCCCCTTCATGTCGTCCCAAACCTGTAATACCTTCATTCATCTTCAGATCAAGATATTTTTGATGAAATCTGAGAGCTTTCTGACCCCTCATAGACCGCAAAGTTATTACCTCTTTCAAGGGCCAGAAAGCTAGAAAAGACATCGCTGAAATAGTCCAGACTACTACAGTGGTGTAGTCATGTCTTTAATGTTATGAAGTGAGAAGAATACGTTTCGTGGCAAAAAAAACAACAAAAATAACGACTTCAACGCTGTCTCAGTATTGGCCGGCTCCTTGGTGCTCACGTAAACAGCATCAGAG